CGTTGAACATCCTGTGGCACATGTCTATACTCAGAATGGACTTGCTGAATCATTCATTAAACGAATCCAATGGATTGCTCGACCATTACTCATGAGGTCGAAACTCCCGGTCTCAGCTTGGGGACATGCAGTATTACATGCTGCTGAACTAATACGCATCCGACCATCTAGTGAGCATAGATATTCCCCATCCCAATTATTACAGGGTCATGAGCCAGACATCTCCCATCTCAAAACATTTGGGTGCTCAGTCTATGTACCCATTGCTCCACCACATAGAACCAAAATGGGACCTCAAAGGAGGATGGGAATATATGTTGGTTTTGATTCTCCCACCATCATCAAATATCTCGAGCCGACCACTGGAGACCTATTTAAGGCCAGATATGCGGATTGCCAATTTGATGAATCGGTATATCCAACATTGGGTGGAGAGAAACACAAGCTGGTCAAAGAGCTATCATGGAATCAAACATCCTTAAATTGGCAAGATCCTCGGACTCTAGAATGTGATTCGGAGATCCAAAAGATTATACACTATCAAAAGCTAGCTAATCAATTGCCAGATTCCTTTGCTGACCCAAACAAAGTAACCAAATCGTACATACCAGCTTGTAATGCACCAGTACGAATCACTGTTCCAACGGGACAAGTTCAAGTTGCTACAGAGTCTGCATCACGAAATAAACGTAGCAGACCTCTAGGTTCCAAAGACAAGAATCCACAGAAATCAAAGAAAGGTGCAATAGTTGAAACCGGGATTCCCAATATAACAGACATAACGCGCGCTGAGACTCACTCTAATGAACCACCATAAGAGGTTCGGGACGCCAAATCTCTAGGTTCTGACGAGATCGATAACAATGAGATCTCTATCAATTACAACATGTCTGGAATCCAATGGAACAGAAAAGAAGTCGACTTAAATGCACTCTTTGCATACAAAGTAGCACTTGATATTGCGAACACGCAAGAGTATCTAGAACCCACGTCTATCATAGAGTGCACTCATAGAACAGACTGGCTAAAATGGAAAGAAGCCATAAACGTGGAGTTAAAGAGTCTCAAACTCAGGAATGTGTTTGGTCCGATCATCCGGACACCATTCAATGTCAAACCAGTGGGCCATAAATGGGTCTTTGTGCGTAAAAGAAACGAACTCGGTGAAGTCGTTCGTTATAAAGCACGGCTTGTAGCACAAGGATTCTCACAGAGACCCGGAATCGATTATGAGGAGACTTATTCTCCGGTGGTGGATGCAACTACTTTTCGATTCCTCATAAGTCTGGCCATAAGAGAAAATCTAGATTTGCGGTTAATGGATGTTGTCACCGCATATCTCTATGGGCCCCTCGACAATGAAATATACATGAGATTACCAGATGGCATAGAGCTTAAAGATAAGCATGCATCTCGAGATCAATACTGCATCAGGCTAAACAAATCCTTGTATGGACTGAAACAAAGTGGACGTATGTGGTATAACCGGTTAAGCGAATATCTCATCAGAGAAGGCTACAAAAACGATCCCATCAGTCCATGCATTTTCATCAAGAAATACTCATCATAGCAGTTTACGTGGATGATCTAAACATCCTCGGAACATCTGGTGAAATCTCCCAAACAGTCGACTGCTTGAAAGCAGAATTCGAAATAAAAGACCTAGGTAAAACTAAATTCTGTTTGGGTTTACAACTTGAGTACGTCAAAGGAGGAATCCTTGTGCATCAAGCGGCTTACATTGAAAAAGTACTCAAGCGATTCAATATGGACCAGGCCCACCCATTGAACAGCCCAATGGTTGTCCGGAGCCTAGGATTGGACAGTGATCCATTTGGTCCCAAGAAGGACGATGAAGAAATTCTCGGTCCAGAAAAGCCATACCTCAGTGCTGTAGGAGCGTTAATGTACTTGGCTAGTCACACTAGACCAGACATTTGTTTTGCCGTGAACCTCCTAGCTCGCTTCAGCTCATGTCCAACTCAGAGGCACTGGAATGGTATCAAACACCTCCTAAGATACCTTCAAGGTACTAAAGACTTAGGACTGTTTTACACTAACCACAACAAGGATGGACTAGTTGGTTTTGCTGATGCAGGTTATCAATCAGATCCGCACAATGCCAAGTCTCAAACTGGTTATGTGTTCACGCATGGAGGAACAGCTATCTCTTGGAGATCGATAAAGCAGACAATCACTACCACTTCATCAAACCATGCAGAACTTTTGGCCATTCACGAAGCCAGCAGAGAATGTGTTTGGCTACGATCCATGACTCAGCACATCCGATCAGATTGTGGTATGAAAGAAGATAAGGAGCCCACGGTTATGTTTGAAGACAACGCGGCTTGCATTGCTCAACTCAAGGAAGGTTATATCAAAGGAGATCGGACGAAGCACATCCTACCAAAATTCTTCTCAACCTCGGATTGGCAGAAGGATGGTACGATCAGCGTTCAACAGGTCCGATCATGCGATAACTCCGCCGACCTTTTCACCAAATCATTGCCCGCTTCAATACTCCGGAAGCTCATCCAACAAATAGGAATGCGTAGACTTAGAGATCTACGGTGATGCTCTAATCAGGGGGAGTAATGCGTGTTGTACTCTTTTTCCTTCACCATGGTTTTTCCCACTGGGTTTTCCTGGTAAGGTTTTAATGAGGCAACATTCCCCAGCGTATTATCGAGATCCCGATTGACCATCAGGTCCGGTTACTCCGTCCAAGGGGGAGTGTTATAATACATCATATTGGACTTATAACCGGGCCCAATAAGCCCATCAGGGTTATTCATTATGTACTCTAAAACCCTAGGTTTATATGTCTATATATATGTATCATTATTCATGGAATGGAATAAGAGAACAATAAGTTTCACAACATACATTTCTTTGTTAAGTGAATCAATGGTGTATCTTACAATGGAGTGGAAGACCATATTTATAGTACCAAATAATTTCACCAAACCATTCCACTACTCCAAACTATTCCACTTCACCAAACCATTCCACTACACTAAAACTATTCCATTATTTTATGGTAGTGATTGAATGACTTACGAGCTCCATTCAATATTCAAGAGTTTAATTTTTGTAACACTGTAATGGTTTTTTTATTTTTCTTTTACTTTCCTAAAAAATAAAAATAGGTGAGAAATTATAACCTTTTTGGTAAGAAAAAACCAAAACAAAAGAATTATTTAAAACTTGGGATTATCCTCTTCTCTATAACGTATCTTCTTCTCTCGTGTCCTACCTAATTATATCTCTCTACCTGTTTCATTCTCTCTATCACCACTCGCTCTCATCTCTCGCCGGAAAAAAAAAATCCATACCCACAACAATGGCTACCGACACCCAAATCCGAATCGGAGTAATGGGTTGTGCCGACATCGCTCGAAAGGTCTCTCGAGCCATCAACCTCGCTCCCAACGCCACAATCGCCGCCGTAGCAAGCCGGTCTTTAGAAAAAGCCAAATCTTTCGCCACCGCCAATAACTACCCAGAATCAACCAAAATCCACGGCTCTTACGAATCAATCCTCGAAGATCCAGAGATCGATGCTCTCTATGTTCCTCTGCCCACTAGTCTTCACGTTGAGTGGGCTATTAAAGCAGCTGAGAAAGGGAAACATATCCTTTTGGAGAAGCCTGTTGCTATGAATGTAACTGAGTTTGATAAGATTGTTGTTGCTTGTGAAGCTAATGGTGTTCAGATTATGGATGGTACTATGTGGGTTCATAATCCTAGAACTGCTTTGCTTAAAGAGTTTTTGTCTGATTCTGAACGTTTTGGTCAGCTTAAAACTGTAAGTTAGTGTTTGGTTTTCATGAAATTTTATGTCTTTGTTGTTGGAATTGGATTGGCATTGATTCTAGTTTTTTGGGTTTCTTTAAAGTTTGTAGCTTTGGTTCTCACTGCATAGGTTTGATCAAGTTTCTGGCTTGTGTAGTTTTCTAGCTTCTTGAAGATTTGATAGTGTCTTGAAAGTGTTGTTTATACATGATGTTTGAATCTGTAGGTACAGAGTTGTTTCTCATTTGCTGGAGATGAAGAGTTTCTCAAAAACGATATCCGTGTGAAACCGGGTCTTGATGGGCTTGGTGCGTTAGGAGATGCTGGGTGGTACACGATTCGAGCAACTCTTTTGGCTAATAACTTTGAGCTTCCGAAAACTGTGACGGCTTTTCCCGGGGCTGTGTTAAACAAGGCAGGAGTGATTCTTTCCTGTGGAGCATCTTTGAGCTGGGAAGACGGACGAACTGCAACTATATATTGTTCGTTTTTGGCGAACTTAACAATGGAGATAACTGCCATTGGAACAAAAGGCACACTTCGTGTTCACGACTTTATTATCCCGTATAAGGAGTCTGAGGCGTCGTTTACCACGAGCACTAAAGCTTGGTTCAATGACCTTGTGACTGCGTGGGTTAGTCCCCCGAGTGAGCACACGGTTAAGACAGAGCTTCCGCAAGAGGCATGTATGGTGAGGGAATTTGCTCGATTGGTTGGAGAAATCAAGAACAATGGTGCAAAGCCTGATGGGTACTGGCCTAGTATTAGCCGAAAGACGCAACTGGTTGTTGATGCTGTTAAAGAGTCTGTTGATAAAAACTATCAACAGATTAGTCTCTCTGGTCGTTGAAGGAAAGGACACAACTTATAAATGTTGTCATGAGTTCTCTCCTCTCTCGCTCTCTATGTTCAAACTTTGATCATCCGTTTAAGTGTCGTTACCAATATGTTTGGTCTTCTGCTGTGTCCGCCTGTATCCGGATGGTTGTATGTATGTTATTATTACTAATAAAAATGTAAAATTTAATGTTACTAGATGAATACTTGCATTCAGTTTATAAATATAAAGTTACTTCAACATTTTTAAGAAGAACAGATTAGTGACTATTTGGCCTTCTGGAAGTTGCAAATGAGAACAAGTTAACTTTTAGACTCTAGCATCCATGGAACTCAATTACTAAATTTAACTTAATTAATACATTAACAAAAGTTATAAAAATTTAAAAATTGTAAACAAAATCTATGACTTTTGGGGGTTAGGTAAAGGAATTAAGAATAGTTGGTCGCAGAAACAACTTTAAATTCGACCTCAACATTCAAAGTATCTTTCTTGTCCAAGTAAGACTTTCGAAGTTCAGCTGTAGACACGAAGTGATCCCAACCACAACTTTGGCTTGGTCTATTGAACCACCAGTTAACTGCAATAAGACAGATTACATCTCGTTAGCCATAATTAATTTCTCCTCATAAGCTAAGAAATAATAAAGTAAACAGTGTTCTATAACATACGCTTGCATGTTAAGTGATTGGATCCACGTGGGTCTTCAACTTTCACATGTGCTTGCACGTAAATTTTTTCATCGTTCTTTAAAATTTCACCATCAGCTAAATACAGATAAATGGATAACCATTTACTATCTGGTGTAGAGTAGCCCTTGGGATACACCTTGAGAACCCTACAAAACATTATTATGCACTTGTTAACAATCTTATGCTCTCCCGTATGTGTATATGTACATAAAAAAAAATTAATTATGATACCATTTTTTTCCTCCCTTTGAAAAGCTGTCTGATGTGTGAGGATTCTCCTTTATCTTAGAGAAATTATTAATAGTCCAAGAGAACTTAGGATAAGGAAGTTTCACAAAAGAGAGCATTTCCCATTTGGTTGGAGGTGGAACAACAATAATATCAACACCAAACTCACAATGATCTCCATCAAAGAGGTATCCGTTTTTATGGTCGTTGAATGTATCAAGCGCAAGCACTTGCGGTAATCCCCCCATCGTTTTTAATGTATTGAACGGCTTCGAATCCACATCTATATATAGATATATGCAATATTAGTACATATATATATATATATACAGAAAGAACTATAAGAAAAAAAATACATGTACATACATACCTTGGATTGTAAGGTACTTATTTTCTTTTTTGTTAAAGACGAAAAATCGGATATCTGCATAAATCTCAGTTGGTGGTGTAGCCTTGAGGCTTGTACTATCTATTTCAACATAGATTGAAATAAATCCACTCCCATTGTCCTTGTCGTTTCCTTTTGGGTATATGATCATTCTCCTGAAAAATATTTATGCACAAGGAAAGATGATATATCATATAAAACAATAAATAAAGATTAATTATTCTGATGATATATGATGAATGATATTGAGGTAGATAAAACATCTATATGGAACATACCACTGGTAATCACCAGAGGAGAAAAGTCGAGATTGGTATTTGCCATCTGAGTGAAGGGTTGAGCTTTGGAGTTGAGAGAGGTTCTGGAATTTGATGGAATAGGAAGAAGGAGGACGTTCTCTCCAACTCTGCATAGTTGTGGAAGATATGTTTGACAACATTGTAGACAAACTTTTCTTCCTCCAAAACTGAATTGCAACACAAAAGATCCGAAAATTTGTTAATATATATGAGAGAGAGGAATAGAGAAGAATGAAAGAATCTATACTATATAAAAGTCGAGGCTATAAGCTCCTGAAGCCGTCCACCTAGGATTTAAAACGACCAATCGCGGTTTGACATCTCATTAATTAACTTTTTTAGGCAAGACGTTAATTAACATTATTAAATTATAAAATTTTCTATAGAATAGAAATGTAAACTTTTGAAAAATAGTATGTGGAAATAAGAAAATGTAAAAGTTATTTATTAGAATATTGAAAGAATAATAACATTGTTAGTCTCATTATAATAGCTTCCAAATAAATTAAGAAAAATTTCTAATTCTAAAATAATGTAGTTAACAGGAATTGGATAATAAATTGATCATTATTAGTCTCACTACATTTGTTTGTATTCCATCTTTAATCAAAATAGCAATTTGTTAATTCATATTTTAAAAATAAATGAATTTGAAGCCATTTCTATACTATATCAAAGTTGAAGCTAGGAAAATAGATATCATAATTATATTATCTGCGAGTAAATTTGTTGTGGTGGCTCGATGAGTCCAAAAATGAAACTACAAGTATTTTGATTTTTGACCACAATAACCATCTCACTGATTAACGTTTTTAAAGTTTATGAATTTATAAAAAAATATATGTTGAGAAACAAGAGAAAATTAACATAAAAAATCTACGGAAGCAAAAGACATATAAATTTGATATCGTAATATCTAGAAAACTCCAAAGTATAAATAGTAGATATCTAAAATACTTCTTGGATATAAGAATCTCTATGCCAAAAACGAATATTTTTGGTATTTTGAAATTTGAATGATCAGATGTACTCTTAGTCCCTTGTGTATATCTTTTAGATTTGATATTGTATAAAATAAATGGCAAAATATATGTTGACTTAATTAGGTTAGGATCAAAAATTTAATTACAATGATACATTTTTTAAGATACATATCGGCAGAAAAGACAAATCCAAGAACCTTTCACAGCCTCTACGATTATTATAAATACTTTTATTGGATTATTATATCAGCTCAAATCGACCTATGTAGCTTCAAATTAGCATAATAGTTACCGATGTTTACGTCAATCGCATATTGGATGTGTGGAAGTCAAAATGGCAATCGTTGCATGCAAATTTGGAGAATTTTACAACTGACATGCACATATCAAAGTATAGGATCAAAAAGTTAAATCCCATCTATAGAGGAGGTAAGCTTGCATATATCCCATTTATATTAGATAGATTGTTTGGTGTGTTTTTGATATTTAGATACAAACATATTTTTTGAAATTCAGTTTTAGGCCACTAAATGGTTGAATACGTGCGATGGAAATATAATCTTATATTTTTTTTTGTTTACCATTAACCTGTTTTGGTTATTTTATATTTTATTAGGATTTTGAGTTTTTATTTTAAATTGCATATCAGTTGCTAGGTAGAATGATAATTAAGTTTGATTGCATCTTCTACATCCGTAAGCTATTGTCGACCTCTATTGTGTGTTTTTTTTTCTTTCCGTTGTTTGTTGTGTGTTAAATAATTTCCGGTGGTTTCAAATGTTTTGTATAATTTTGTAACAATCTTATCATTTGTATTAAAGATTTTGTAGGCCGAGACATAGAATCTTGAGATAAATGCAAATATTGTAATAGAAAATATTTGTTGTGCCACTACAATAAGATGAGTGCGATTGTTTTATTGCGTAGTATCTCATTTATAGGTTATAATGTATAAAAATCGTTTTTGGATATGTAGAAAGTGGAGTCACTACTTTGATATGCTTGCAAATCATAAAATTTGTTGAGATGATACTGAACTAGAAAATAGAATACCATTTAAAAGTTAAAAGTGAGATGTTATATATTGATCAAGATATTAGAAATGAATTTCAGGGAAAAAATAAAGAAATAAGTAGTAGAGAGTTGACACGATAATCTATATGTGTAAGGTGTTTAAGAATCCGATTAAATATTATAAATCTGGTTTCATTGTCATATAATCAGATTAAGTGTATGGGTATAATACATAGCTAAACAAAAAATAAATATTTATTCTCTTAGATGGAAAATTATGCTGATTTTTATGTATATGAAAAAGTTGCAACAATGTTAAAAACATATGTCAATTGTTGTAGTTAAACTCTAAAAAATAATTCTTTAAGTAGGGTGAGGTAGGAAGCCAATGTTTTAAAAGTTGTCCGAATAAAAGTAAGAGCATCTTATCACTCATTCTCAACTAGAAGAAATACAAAATTTTTTTCTTAGAAAACAGATTGATTTTTTTTGTTTTTTTTATTATAAGATAACATACTAAAAAATCAGTAGTTAACTTTTGTTTTCTCTTGGGATCAACTTCAAGTAACTAATATTTTTGAAATGTTAGATTTTAGTGATAGGATATAAAAGTATATGGACGTTTACAGTATTACTAACTTGATTGAGAACTAATGTGGCACCAAAGAAAACAATGAAGACATTTAGACCTATGTAATCAACTCGAAGTAGTTAATATGTTCAAAATTTGATATTTTAGTGATAGGATATAAGAGTATTCAACCGTTTAAAGTAGCACTAATCCGATTGAGAACCAATATGACACCAAAGAAGACAATGAAGATAGTTAGACCAATGCGATATGGCTTGAAGGAGGAAGTTAGTAACTTCTGATATTTTAGCCCTAAGTTTGAATTCATTTTAGATACTATTGTACAATGCAAAATTAATACTGATAAACTAAATATAACTCAATTCGGACTGAATTTCCAATATACAATGATAGTGTTTTAACAACTATTATTATATATACTAGGTTATGAACCCCGCGATATCGCGGGGAACTCATTTTCAACAAATATATTTTATTACGTTTATGAATTAAATTATTATTATAATATATTCAAATAATTGAATTACTATATAAAATTAATTATTATAATATATTCAAATAATTGAATTACTAGCGGGTCAAAACCAAAAAGATATAAAAACACAACCAGAAAATAACGTCAACACAAAAAGTAACCGTCAATATTTTAACGAAGAGTTGCGATAAAAAGACATAACCGAGAAAAAATAACCGTCGATATTTTAACGGAAAGTTGCGATAAATAACACAACCGAGAAAAAATAACTGTTAATATTTTAACGAAAAGTTGCGATAAAAAGACAACAAAAAAAGTAAATGTCAACATTTTTACGAAAAGTTATGATAAAAAGACACATAAAAAAAAATAACTGTCAACGAAAAATGTAACCGTAAATATTTTAACGAAGAGTTGCGATAAAAGACACAACCGAGAAAAAATAACAGTCAATATTTAAACAAAAAATTGCGATAAAAAGACACAAACGGAAAAAAATAACCGTCAATATTTTAACGAAGAGTTGCGATAAAAAGACACAACCGAGAAAAATAACCATCAATATTTTAACGGAAAGTTGCGATAGAAAGACACAACCGAGAAAAAGAAACCATCGATATTTTAACGGAAAGATACGATAAAAAGACAAAAACAAAAAAAAAAGAAACCGTCAATATTTTAACTGAAAGTTACGATAAAAAGACACAACCGAAAAAATAACCATCAATGAAAAATTGTAACCGTAAATATTTTAACAAAGAGCTAGGACAAAAAGATACAACCGAGAAAAAATAACCGTTAATCTTTTAACGAAAAGTTGCGATAAAAAAACACAAACGAGAAAAGTAATGTTAATATTTTAACGGAAAGTTGCGATAAAAAGACACAACAAAAAAAATAATCGTCAACGAAAAAAAGAACCGTCAATATTTTAATGAAGAGTTGCTATAAAAAGACACAACCGAGAAAAAATAACCGTCAAACTTTTAACGGAAAGTTGCGATAGAAAGATACAAACAAAAAAAATGACCGTCAATATTTTAACGGAAAGTTACGATAAAAGACACAACCAAAAAATAACTGTCAACGAAAAAAGTAACCGTCAATATTTTAACGAAGAGTTGCGATAAAAAGATACAACCGAGAAAAACTAACTGTCAATATTTTAGCAAAAAATTGCGATAAAAAGACACAACCAAGAAAAAAATAACCGTCAATATTTTAACAGACAAAAAAAGACACAATCGGGAAAAAAATATCGTCAATATTTTAACAAAAAGTTATGATAAAACCAGAAACGAAAAAGTAACCGTCAATATTTTAACGGAAAGTTGCGAGAAAAAAAAAACACAACCAAAAAAATAACTGTCAACGAAAAAAGTAACCGTTAATATTTTAACGAAAAGTTGCGAGAAAAAGACACAACCAAAAAATAACCGTCAACTAAACAATTAACCGTCAATATTTTAACGAAGAGTTGCGATAAAAATACACAACCGAGAAAAAATAACCGTCAACATTTTAACGGAAAGTTGCGATAAAAAGACACAACCGAGAAAAAATAACCGTCAATATTTTAACGGAAAACTGCGATAAAAAGACACAAACGAATAAAGTAACAACCAATATTTTAACGGAAAGTTGCAATGAAAAGACACAAACAAAAAAAAACCGTCAATATTTTAATGAAGAGTTGCGATAAAAAACACACCCGAAAAAATAACTGTTAATATTTTAACGGAAAGTTACGATAAAGAGACACAACCGTTCAGAAGTGCAAAATACATTTATTGAGGTTGTTATTTTGGCTAATAAAACCAATTTGATATGTAGTCTAATGGTTGATGTAAAAAAACTTCGTAGTATTACTAACTATACAAAAAATACAATGAAATTATATAATAGAAAGACGTAACTTTAAATGAATAAATGCAACTATAAAGATATAATTGTAAACTGAAAAGATACGACTGTAATTTAACATATATAACCGTAAATAATTCAACGAATTCAAAGAGAAAATTCAATAAAAAGACATAACCGTAAAAAAATAACCGATTTAAACGAAAGGTTGCGATAAAAAAACGCAACCGTTCAGATGTGCAAATGGTATTTATTAGATTGCTATTATATATAGATATTTATTTTTATGAAAACAAATATGAAAAACCCACGCGTAGCGTGGGTTCAAAACCTAGTTAAAAATAAAAAAGTATCGGTATCCACAAGCACAGATTGGTCTTCTTCTTCCACTAGGGTTTTAAGGCTTTGGAAACGTGAGCTTTCCTTGTAAAACCTATCTGATCTCTCTAGTCTCTCCTCAAAGCCATGAGACCAAATATATATACTGGTGTAACCCTAGGGTTTGACCCTGGCTGACGTGGAAATCATTGGTCTTCCAATTACAAATTGGAGTGCAACTTTTCGTTGTATGTTTATCCAATGTATATATCGTCCAAATCCTATATATCACATATTTTTTTTTTATATATCGTATATTATGAGATAAATCTTTTAACCTAATCGTCGAAAAATAAAATCTTAAACCTAAATATTAGTTTAATCCAAATTCTACCCATATATTGCTCTAATTTTAGATTGTTTATAATCATGATCAATCAAAAAAGAACAACAAATATTTGTTGATTTGAATTTGATTAAACAGTTTTCAAACATTTTTAAGAAGATTTGTTGTAAAGTTAACACGTTGACAGACAAAACTGGTCTTGTTATGAAAGTGAAAAATTGAATAATACCAAAAAGAAAATAACCGATCTTAAAATTTAAGACAATTTGGCGGATAATTGGTAAAGAATATAAAAACTAAATAACCTTAAAGATGATTTAAGAGCGTCTGGAAAACATAGATAGTCTAAAAAGTAGAACTAATCAGGTAACGGAAGAATATTTAGTTGCAGAAACAACTTTAAATTCGATCTCAACTTTCAAAGTGTCTTCCTTGTCCAAATAAGACTTTCGATGTTCAGCTACAGACACGAAATGATCCCAACCATAACCTAGGTCTGGTGTATCGAACCACCGGTTAACTGCAGTATGTAACATAGAATATGTATTGTAAGCATTGATTAATTAAGAAATGGGTAAGCTAGTAATTTCGTTATTAATGCTTAGTTCACCTCATATATCGAGTTGATTTAAGAAAGCTAGGAATAATAATTTATATACATACGCTGGATTGTCAGGTGATTGGATCCAAATGGGTCTTCAACTTTCACATCTGCTTGCACGTAAATCTTCTCATCTTCCTTTAAAATCTCACCATCAGCTAAGTACAGAAAAATGGATAACCATTCACTATCTTCTATAGAGTAGCCCTTGGGATACAACTTTAGAACCCTGCAAAATAATATTTTACACTTGGTTAATATTCATATACATAATCTTAAACTTAAAAGTAAGTAAAGATTTGTTGTAACATAATTTGTGTGTACTTTACCATTTCTTTCCTCCCTTTGAAAAGCTGTCAGATGTGTAAGGATTATCTTTTATCTCAGAGAAGTTTTTAACAATCCAAGAGAACTTAGGATAAGGAAGTTTCACAAAAGATAACATTTCCCATTTGGTTGGAGGTGGAACAACAATGATATCAACACCAAACTCACAATGATCTCCATCAAAGAGGTATCCATTATTACGATCATTGAATGTATCAAGTGCAAGCACTTGCGGCAATCCCCACATTGTTCTTAGTGTATTGAACGGCTTCGATTCCACATCTGGGTATACAAAGAAACATCATATATCAAGAGAGCACAAGCGAATATAAATAAATGAATACACATGAACATACATACCTTGAATAGTAAAGTACTTGTTTTCTTTTTTGTTAAAAACAAAAAACTGGAGATTTGCATACACCTCAGTTGGAGTTGTGGAGATGAGGCTTGTGCTATCTATTTCGACATACATTGAAATAAATCCACTCCCATTGTCCTTGTCGTTACCTTTTGGGTATATGATCATTCTCCTAAAGTTTTAAGAAACAATAGTGAATAAGGCAAGATGATACATCATTAAAAGAATTAATGGACAAAAGAATGATGAAAGAAGTGTAAGTCTATGGGACTTGTGTGACACTAGATAAGTCAATACACAAGACGTACCATTTGTAATCACCAGAGGAGAAATGTCGAGATAGGTATTTGCCATCAGAGTGAAGAGTTGAGCTCTCAAATTGGGAGAGGTTTTCGACTTTGATGGAGTAGGAAGAAGGAGGACGTTCTCTCCAACTCTCTAGAGTTGTCGAAGAAATGTTTGAACACATGATTTCACTGTTTCTTTTTCCTTCCTGAATTGCTTATACAAGAGAACGGAGGGTTTGTTTATATATAGAGTTGAGAGAGGAGATGAAGCGTTGGTTATAATAGAAATTAAATTGTTTATTAAAAAATTTATTAGCAAAAAGAGGTGTCTTGGAAATAACATGACGGTAATGACAAAGCTCACGCTTAGAATACGAAGAGCCATGGCTTGTGAACCCTAGTGTTGCCATAGTGAAGTAGGTACGTGATTAGTGCCTTTACGGATGTTTAGACGTTAGAACGTTAAATGTAGGAATATTAATAGCGTATTGAAAATCCATTAGGGTTTTTAATGAGGATGTTCATATAACTTATTACAAGCAAGCCCATCACAGAAAGCTAATTAATTGGGCCGAACATTTAAGCCTGAAGAACATAGAGGATAAGAAATACTAGGTGATGTTTGATTTGTTTTTGGCATCGAGAATGATTTATGATGAAAGTGATAAAATGAGATATTGGTCCGAAGTAGGTTGTGACATGTTGGAAGATAGGATATTTAAAGAAAATAGTAGAATTGGTATAACAATGAAAAATGAATTTTCTCAAATCCAATGATTAAATAACATCCCCTTTTAATTAGTTAACTATAGAAAAATGAATTTCTACAAAAATAAAAAAAAATCTTCCAAATCACCATTTTCTCAAAAGTGGCGAAAATAGTGACTTAGAGGTTTTTTTTGGAAGAAAACCTAGGCCTGGGCAAAAAAACCGTACCCGAGTACCCGAACCGAAACCGACCCGAAAAAACCGGTTCGGGGCGGGTACGGGTATTAGCTATTTACCCTATTGGGTCTTGTATTGCCGTACCCGTGGGTATAGGGTAAAACCCGATCCGAACCCGATACCCGAACGGGTACCCGATTACCCGAAATTACATATACTTATACATATAAAACTTTTTATATATGTAATATTTGAGCTAAATACATTTATATCTAAATATCCGAGAATAGTTACCAAAAATTAAATGCACTTATATTTAAATATTTAAGACAAAATATATTTATACGCGAGATGCTTGTAAATTTTTTAAATATTTGGAAAAAATTCCGGTTATTTGGATAAATTTTCGGGTGAAACTCGGATATTAGAGTAAAATTGCGGATAAATTTCGGATATTAGGATAAAATTTCGGATAAAATTCGGGTATTTGGTAAAATTTTGGGTATTTGGGTATAAAATACCCGAACCCGATGGGTACCCGATTTTTTTGGGTATTTAGCGGTTCTAAAAATCTAAACCCGAACCGACCCGAACCCGATTAGATCCGAACCGAAACCGAACTGATATTTTAGATTTACCCTATTGGGTCCTAAACTCCTCTACCCGAAAGACCCGTACCCGATCGGGTTTTACCCGAACCCGACCCGCATACCCGAATGCCCAGCCCTAAGAAAACCTATAATAATAATTTACAATTAATGGTTTGAGTTTAGATTAAAATAACGGATGGAATGTAAATTAAGTGACATTTGAGACCGGTTTGACTTTTATGGTCGTTTAGATCTTCGAGAATCGAGATCATTTGGTTTTGGGGATTGTTTTGATCTTCAAAATTGTGGCATTTGAAATTGTTTTGATCTTCAAGAACATTCTGGTATACGGATCGTTTTGATATTCATGATCGTTTGGCCTTTGGCTTTGAAATGATATTGATAATCATGCAACTCTACTAATCCTGAATCGACAATGTAGCATCTTACTCTGTTGCCGGTTATGTTGGTTGTCCAAACACAACATCAGTTTATTTAGAAGACGATTTAGTATCTTTGTCCTTACAAACTACAAGTTGCAAACATTGTGGGAGAAATCAATTGTCAAAAACGTTTTGCTCATGCTCAATTGCCTTATGAATACAATGACACTTATGTTATCCGATAACATAAGCTTTGTCTATCTCTCCTAGCAACCCGGTCCAACATCAACAAACCAAACATGTAGAGATAGATTTACACTTTCTTTACAATATAACAGTTCAAAGTTCTTCACTCGAACCGGCGACCTCTAAGATTCCTAGGATCTTTACCAGTTAAGCTAACGACATTTAATTCAAAAGCAATTTAATCGTAAAATCATTCCCCGAATCGTAAAAACTGTAAACAATCTATTCGATTTCGATGCATTTTTACCCGATTTCGAATTACAAAGATAATAAACTCAGAATTATTATTACATCATCAGTATATTATATGATTGATTAATAGAGAAAGAAGAAGAAGAAGAAAAAAAAAAAAAATTGCACAGAAAAAAAAAACCATTCTCAAATTTCTCTTAATACAATTCCCAATTCAAGTAGCTAATTGAATCTCACCAAGTTCAAGCTGTTGAGCAATATCTTCAAGCTGCTTCTTCACACTCATATCAATAAGCTTCGAACCGGAATCACCATACCGAATCGTAAAACCAGCCACAAGACTCGGATCAATAACCGTCTTAACCCGAACATTCTTAGCTCCGGTTAACTTCTGAACCTGTTTCGCAATCTGAGCTAATTGCGGCGGTTCCAATTTCACCACCGACCTAACCTCCGCCAATTGTGTATCCGTTAGCTTATTGTAAACCAATTCAAACTCTTTAACAATCTCCGTCATTATATTGATCCGATTCGCGTCGACGAGGACGTTGAGGAAGTTAGAGGTATGAGATTGAAGAGATGATGATTTCACGATGTCGTCGATGACTTGACGTTTCTTCTCGACGGTGATCGTTGGATTCGCGAAGAAGTTTAGTACTTGTGGATCTGAGAAGACTTGATCGAGTTTTTCGATGTCTGCGACTGTTAATTCCATTGTGTCGTTTCTTTTAGCGACGTCTGCTAAAGCCATCGCGTAGCTTGATGCTGCGGTGGCTGACATTCTTGCTCCGGCGGCGTTTCCGTTGTTGATTCGGATTGGGAAGGTTTTTCGGAGTGGGAGAGATCTGGCGATTTGGAAGGAGGATGGTGGGAGTTTTGATTGAAGAGAGAATAGAGTTTGTTGAAGAGACGCCATTGTTGTTGAGAGAACTAGAGAGAAAGAGAGAGAGAGAGAGAGAGATTTGTGGTTTCTCGGAGACGATAGAGGAGGAGGAGATGAAGAAGGTAAGGTTTTTGGGGGAGATGAGAATGGACGGTGGAGATTTTGGATTGTGGTTAGATTGACGGTGGAGATTGGAAGGTTTATCTTGTGTGGAGTTGTTTTCAGAGGATTAGGCTGTGGTTTGAGGAGGAGTGAGGATTCGACACGTGGTGTTGTTTGATTGGTGAGATATCTGTGTTCCATATTTGAGTTAAAAGGATTTGATTCTTGTTATCCAAATTTTTATGTCACAAATCTATACTAGTATTTCTCTTGTCATTTTGGTGACTGGTGGGTAAAAATGCTGCCAGGTTATATTTGGATATCCGATCCGTTTACAAATTTTGGTCATAAAAAATTTGTTGGGTCGGGTTATAGTTAACTCAACTCATACACCGGATATTCCATATTTAATAATTTATATATTTAGAAGATCTGATTAAGATTTAGAATTATGATTCTCCTGTCATCTTTGTTTGATTTGTTTTTAACTGTTTTGAATCATCATATAATACATAAAGTAAAAAAAATCAATTTTTTTTCTGCATATATTGTGATTCAAGATTTAAAAAACGGACATATATTATCCAATTGACGAAAATGTGTGTTCAACGTTCTACATCGATTAAAATATTTAGACAATGATTCAGAATCATATCATTAATAAGATCAACATTAACAAAATAAATGAGTTTTTTTAGCCGGACGGGTTTGGCGGGACGGGTTTTTGAATCAACAATAATAAAAATATTAAAATATCATTAATCCGTCGCTTCAATACTGATTAAATCCTTAATTTTTTTTTAATACCACCAATATTAGACATATTAAATCAGTCTCATTCAGAAAAGATTGTATAAAACCAAAAATTGTCTCGTGGTATAATGTTACTTAATAACAATTGTAAACTATAAAATATAAATATCTTAGAAAATGATACAATTTGCAAACTTTTATATATAATAAATAATCGTTAAATTTTAAAAATTACGACTTTTAGAAAACAAATCACGGGACGAGTTAAGAAGTTACATGACGGGTTATATTTCAGAACGAAGTTATATGGTGGACGAGTTTGAATCAATATTTATAAAATTTTAAAATATCATTAACATGTCGCTTTAGTACAGATTAAATCTTCAGTTTTTTAAAATATAAATGTCCTAGAGAATGATGTAATTTGAACTTTTATACAAAATAAATAATCATTAAATTTTAAAATAAAAAAAAATCACAGGACGGGTTAAGAAATTATGGAACGGGTTATATTTCGGAACGGGTTTATATGGCGGACAAATTTGAATCAATATTTATAAATATCATTAACATGCCGTTTTAATAAGGGTTAAATTAAATCCTCAGGTTATTAACAATTGTTTCGTGGACTCGTGGTATACCGTTACTTAATAACAATTGTAAACTATAATAATATAAATAAATATTTTATAAAGAGATATAATTTCAAAATATTTTTATACTAACTTTAAAAATAAATCATCCCACGGTGTACCGCGGGTTAAAATCTAGTTTTTATATTATTAGTTAAACAAAAGTTGAACCAATTAAGGTTGATGTGTGTTTGACCAAGGTTGGGGAGCCTCTGATTTAGCTAGAGGGTTCTGTTAAAATAGAGTTCAGCTAAACTAAAATCTTCTATAATTAAAGGATCAACAATGAGAAAATATTTCTTACAATATTTTATGTGAACACATTAAAAAAAAAAAAATCTCTCCAAAATCACACCTCTTATTTGTCTATTTTTCCAACTAAACGAGCATTAAAAGTCTCTCAAAATCAGTTTCTATTGTGAACAAGTGTGATTCTCAATCACATGTCATTATACATGTCTATAGAATGGATACTACTCCCAAGTATCAAGTATAACACTTGTTATTACACAAGTTTCACACTTGTCATATCAAGTATAACACTTGTTATTACACAAGTTTCACACTTGTCATTATACATAAATACTTGTCATTACATCCTTAGATGTGTATGACTAAGCATCTCTTTTCTCCTCTATAAATAGGAGTTGTTCAAGATGAGAAATGTAATACAAAAAAGAGATAAGAATAAGAAAGTTATAAGAACCTTAAAGTGTTGATCTCTCCCCTCTCTTTTTATGTAAGTTCTTGTTTAGCTTTTTTATTTTACAACACGTTAACAGCACAATCGTCTCTCCATCCAATCTACCGATCCGAACATATTTCTACTCGATCAATCTCTTGGTTATTCTATCCCGTAAAACTAAGGTACCATTTACATATTAAATTTTCTGTTAAATTTATTTTGAATTTATTAATTACGGAGTAGTAGGTTATGCTTCCTCTATAATCGAGTGATAGGCTATGCCTTATCGAAATTCTAGGAATGATTTAATAATTGATTAATCATTCATATAGATAATCATGTCAAACTTGGCGAATCTTGACATCGCTACCCTTGGTGAAACTTGACATCATATAGATCATTAAATGTTGGTTTAGGTTTATAAAATAGTGGTTAGAATTTAGATTTTACAACTAAATGAGTTTTTTTTTTATTAACAGATTCTGATTAGTTAGAATAAGAGGGGGTGAATAAAAAGATTCTCACCCCTAGATGTGAGTTGTTCATTTAGATTTGCTTTTAACTAGCAAAAGTATCTCCCGAGAAATTCATGTATCTTATCTTGGGATATGAAAAACAGTTTTCAAATAAACATTAGAGGTTAATCGTATGAAAAGGTTGAGATTAGCATCTATTCTGCCAAACAGTTTAACAATTTATAAATGCTTTTGGTGGGTTAATATAACCCATGGCCAATGTGATAATTTCTCTAACTAACTATTATTGGAAATACAATAAATGAGAATGAGAATGAGTATTCAAAATATAACTATAAATTTTTTTTGGTTAATAATCAAATTTTGAAACTCAAGAGTATAATAAAATGGTAATATCTTTTTAATAAGCTTTGACCAAAGTTCCTTTCACATTCCATTTAAGCAGGTCATTTTAATAAATACAAGGTTTTTTTTATCAAATAAATCATATTTAAATGGGCAATATATATATATATATATATATATATATATATATATTTTTAATAATTTTTGTTACCAAATTTAGGATACAATCTCCAAAGTTCCAAAAAACACAAATTTAATATTAAAAAGACTAATATAAGCATTTTATTGATGTTTCACGCGATCTTATTATAATATTAATTTCAAATTGTAATTAATTTATTATTTTACATAATTAGCGCTAAGGGTAGAAAAAAGGTTGTGTAAACTCACTAATTCTAAATTTGAAATTTGTAGAATGTATGATATAATTGTCCATAAAATTTGTTGTAGTGCTATTGTAGGATATTTATATATTTATTTAAATATAGCATGCTACTGTAGTTGCGGCTTATATATGTGAATCTATGGAAGGTCATCATTAACGATTTTGTTTTTTCTTTCAAATATTATTATTAGGTTTTTCCAATTAATTATAGAATAGTTTATTTACGTTATGTAAGAAACACTTGTATATCTGATATTTGATATTGCCTAGGTATATATTATGAGTTAAAGATCTATATAATCTGAATCTACCCTACTAATTTTTTGAATTTCTATTCATATAGAAGTTCTTCCTTTTATATGTGAATTAAAAAAATAAGCAAAGAATATATATATATTAAAATAGGTTAAAAATGGCATAAAAAAATTGAATATATATATTATGGATTTTTAAAATCATGTGGATAGGAACTACAATTAAAGTAATTTTTTATGTTCCAATTATTTTATTATACTATTTAAATATAAGTTTTTTTATTTATTTTGGTTGGATGAATCTTAGCGATTACTTAATTAGAATTACGTCTTATAAGCAGAGCCGTCCATGACTACAAGCGAGCCAAGCACCAGCTTGCGGCCGCACAAGGGTTTATTACTATAATTGGCCCCATTTTTTTGTAGAAAGTCATCAGCTCTGCTGGTTAATGTGTGTTGTTTTAACAGTTGAGGTTCGTTGGTTCGATTCCCCCTACGTATTTTAAGTTTTTCTTTTTATTTTATAAATCAATAATTAGTTGGCCCAAAAATTATTTTTGCTTGCGGCCACCAAAGCTCTAGGGACGGCTCTGCTTATAAGTCATTGGATATGCTCTATAGTTACCACCACATTAATACATTTTTGTAAATTTTATTTTTAAAAAACAAGAAGGGACAATGCTTTATAATTTATTTCCTCTTCTTAGTTCTTACAAGATTAATCGACTTTTCTTTTTTTTCCTAGAGAATTGCTTTATTTGTTTTATTTTATCAGTACTTACTATGTTAATGAAAATCTAAACATATTTCCAACCAATATACTAAATCAAGTTTATGTTAATGGATATTGTTATGTTCATTTTCAAGCTCTATTGAGGCAACCGAAGGAAAAAATTGAACAAGACAAGTAGATAACAAACGAGTATGCAACTAATTATGACAAATCAATTAAACGAATGATCAATAAGGGCTAACAATCGGGCAAAAGGATGTCACGTGTTTAGGCTGCCGAGACGAGGATTATATTGATGTGAAAATTGGTTTATTTCAATTAAATTTTTGTAATTACAAGAAATGAGAAAAAACTGGGTCTTCCTTAGGTTACATATCCAATGTAATAAAATAAAATAAAACAGAAATGGCTATAGAACTGGTCCTTGAAACCAAAATTAAAGGAGATGGATAGCTTAAATTAGATATGTATCAGAGTGATTCAAATCTAATTTCTTATATAAATACTTGCACACACTTTGTTCATATATATTTTCTAAGTTGTAAAACAGCATCTACTCATTTGTATCATAAAGGATGAGTAAACCCTTTCAACTTTCGATGGCCATGCTAACTATTCTCATCATTCTTGTTACAGGTTTGTATTTATTTAACACGATCATTAATAGATTTTAAATAATCAGTCTATATAAGTTGATCATCAATAATATGTTGATTCTCTAAATATACTAATAGAGTATGCATAAGCCCCAAATCCGAACCTAATTAATATAGAATACGGGTTTAAAGAGTAATAGGTGCATGATTTGGCATTTCAAAATTATCGTCCATCTTAGTCATAGTTTTATGTTTTTACCAAAGAAAATTACAGAGAACCCTTTAACTTGTTGAATGATTGCAAAATAGATTTTTGTTGGATGATTCAATTGGTTCAAAGCAAAGTTTTCTTTTATCAATTCAAATGCCAAATGCCTAGTACATGCAGTTGAATGATTTATTTTTATTTACTATATTTTGCATGAAAATGAAAAAATAGATTACAGTAATAAAACGATTCAAAATGACATGAATAGTTTGAGAACTTTGTTTTTGATGATTGGAAGATAAAAAATTACTCATTTTAGTTGGTTTCTCGCCTAACAAAATATAATACTTTGTTTTACTATTTATTCATTTTTAGTAATGTCTTTAGCAGGCCCGGCTTAGAAGCAGTGCTAACAGTGCAATAGCACTGGGTCTTACATTTTTTAAAGTTTTTTCTTAGGATTTAAGGGCCTCAAATTTTAATTTTTTTGTAAAAGGGTCCTAAATTTTAATATCATGAATATTTTCAAAAAAAATTTAACTCGGCACAAGGTCTAAAATTTTTTTGAGCCGCCCCTGGTCTTTAGATTTTAGGGTGTTAAATTTTTAATTTTTGTCATTATATATTTTGCTCCCTTCCTTTCATAAATATATACATTTTACGCTGTATTTTGTTTCTTCATCAAGATTAATGTTTTGTAGTTCTCTATGGAATTTATATCATTGACAAAAGAATTTCAATTATGTAAATCCGCATATATGGCTTGAACAACACTTATGTAGTTATGTATTTCATAAATCCAATATAATGCTATTTTGGCGGGGAAAAAGAAAAAAAGAAAAAAAAAAGAATTTTGATTATTGATATTAAGTTATGATAACATAATTTTCAAGAATTAATAGATGATTCTGTATCTGATATTTTTTTTTTTTCACTAAGATGCCCAAAATCTTTTTTAAAACAACCATCTCAATAAAAGAAAGAAAGAAGAAAGTACTATTTTCTTATTATTAAAAATAAAAAATCGATACATTATGTCTTCAATGTTTTACTTTAACAGACAGTGGTTGAAGCACAAAGAAGAAGATGTAATGAAAAAATAGTCTTTCAACTTTGTAATGGTATGGGCAAAAACAAATGTTTCGATTATTGCGACATGAGGGAATGTGCTGCTGCATGTAAAAAGAAGAGGAATGGGGAAGGTATATGCGATGGGAACGAATTTGCTCTTAGTGCTCAATGCGTATGCTTATATAAATGTTGAGTTTTAGATGGTGAACGAGAAGAAGTTGATCAAATCATCAAGTCACCAAGATAAAGTGGTTGGACATTGGGTCAATCAAGTTTCTAATTATATTTTTTTAATAAATTTCATATATGAATATTTTAATAAGGTTAAATTAACTTCTTGATCTTAATAAATATATATATATATATATATAACCTAGAGGTTGCAAAGTCTCTCGATGACATAGAGAGGATAGATATAATGGTAGATGAGGTCGAACCACACAGTTGGGATGGATTTTCGTCTGATACAAAAAATAAATGATACTTATATAGGTCTCAAATAGAAGCAAAAGAAATTAGAAAAAACAAAACACAAAGAGCACAGTGAATAGAACTTTGGCTTGTCTAGCTTGATCGGAGCTTGTTCTAGATACAAAAAGGTACGATAGGTCTGGTCTTCACTATTCTTCATTTGGTTCTCCATCTGCAATAGTCTTCTCTCCCGTGAATCTTGATTCCGGTCTGATTTCATGACCTCATTATTCTTTTCTTTTTCTCGAGTTTTTGTATATTTAGGTGGTTATACCTTAATTAGACTAGTTTCAAAGAATATTTTAAAAATGACCTCTCCCTAAAAACTTATCAAAATATCTCTAAAAATACTACAGTTAAAGTTTATAAGTGTAAACATGATTGACAAATGCATTGAAATATGATCAACAACAAACACGTGTCGCAATAATGTTAATTAATAATATTTTCCCTTTTTAATAAATGTTTCATTTTCATAAAATTTTCTAGTTTTAAATGAAGTATATCCTTTATAATTCTATACTTTAATAAATATGTTTTTTAAAAAAAAATATTTATGTTAAAGATTTGTAATTTTCATCGTTATGTTAGCATATGTCAAAATCGAATTAAAGGTTTGCTACGATATTACAGATTGCGGCATAACTAAGCGCGAAATCGCAACCTCCTACGACAGCAATACTACAAGAGGAGAATAGGAAGCGGGAATCACAAATGGCAATACATGAAGTGCGCCTCATACATACAGACATAACCCTTTGGAGGATTCCATGGAAGTTGGTCTGCGCGAGGAGCCGTAATTCTGACTCCACAGTCGACTAACCCATAATTCTGAAGCAGAATATCGATGTCCTTTTCCGAGAAAACCGATTTGTCACAACCTACTTCCTCTTCACCTGAGTAGTCGGGCATTGACAGAAGATCTTCTACCACGACATTATCAACAGTCGGTACAAAATCTTCTTCGTCACTCGACTAATCGCCTTTAAATCCAACTCTGGTGAATTCAATTATTTCCCTCGAATGAGCCTCCGGAGAAATAAGGGAAGAAGGCCCAGACAAGCAAGATTCAACAGAATTGAGATCTGATTCAAGGAAGGCCCGCCTAATTCGGACACGGGTCGAATCAAAGTTCGCTTCTTTAGGTGCTGCTTGGCTGCCGAATGATCAATCAGACGCTAATTGTCATCGTCGGACACCGAAGCGTTAGCATATGAAAGCTTGCGTTTGTTCTCTCTCGTCATGATAAACCAAGCTCGGAGTAGTGAATTGAACGGGGGAGGGGGCAAATTCAAAACTGAAAACCATAACGGCTAAGCGAGACACAAAAATATCGACGGAAGAGAGAGAAGAGCGAGAAAGTACCTTTCGAGTCGAAGCTTGGAAATGGAAAATTACTTACAAAACCTTCGGAGTTAAGGAAAAATTCTAAAAATACGTGATATCAAGAATCTTCGGAGATTGTGCCACATGGCTTTTTGTTTTCGCTCTCAACATATCAAAAAAAGTTTCACACGATTAAACCTGAGGAAGAGTTACGGAGCTTCAAAAAATATGCTGATTCGGCCGTTAAAAAATACTATATGTAAAATGTAAAAAAGCGATAGATATAATAGATATATATCTAAATTCAAATAAAAAAGAAGGCCACTGCACTTATTGATCAAAACACTTTAGGAACTCAAAGACTTATGATTAACAAAGACTCCTCTCTTTATTATGTTTAAGAAACTTTACTCAAAACTTAAACCTCACAAATCTCTCTTGTTCTCTCAAAAAACACATAGGGTTAGCCACAACCTTGGCACCTCTATTTATACTAATTCTACAAATCCTAAACACACTAGGATTAGGTTTAGATAACTCCTAACCAAAATCTAGAATCTTCTTTTAATATAAACCGACTTGTTTATATCTTTCTTGGGCCTTAAGCTTCTCAAGTTTAAACAACATTCTCCTCCTTAAACTTGATATCTTCATTCTCCACATCTTGAACACCCATAAGCTCTCTTATTTCTTTGAATCTAATCCTTCCCAACGCCTTAGTCAATATATCAGCCTTTTGCTCGTCCCCGGGAACATGCTCCACATCAATAAGCTCATTCTCAACACATTCACGGATGAAATGATATCTCCTATGTATGTGTTTGCTTCTACCGTGAAAAACCGGATTCTTAGCTAAGGCTATAGCTGATTTATTGTCAAGAAGAAGCGTCACCCTTTCACACTCTTTCCCAGTAGCTTCTCCCAGAAGTTCTTGGAGCCAGATTGCCTGTTTTGCAGCCTCAGTGGCTGCCATGAACTCTGCTTCGCATGAAGACAGAGCCACTATCTATTGTTTCTTAGTACACCAGGTAATTGGACAATCAGCAAGATAGAAAATATGTCTTGTGGTACTTCTACCATCATCCTCATCTACATTGTGACTACTGTCACTGTATCCTATTAGCCCTTTCTTTGAACCACAAGTAAAGGACATGCCAAGTTTGATAGTTCCACGCAAATATCTTAGGACCTGCTTTAGTGCATTACCATGTGATTCTTTTGGTTCCTGCATGTATCTACTCAAAATACTGACATAGAAAGAGAGATCTGGCCGTGTGTGGAGTAAATACCTTAAGCATCCAATATTTCGTCTATACTCTTTTTCATCAATGTTCCTTTCATTCTCTGCTTTAGACAACTTCAGGCCTGTAATCATAGGTGAATGAACTGCATTACAATCTTTCATTCTTGCTTCTTCTAAAATCTTCTCTGCATACCTTCCTTGTTTTAGAATGATGCCCATGTTATGTTGAATAACCTCAATACCAAGATAGTATGTTAGTAGGCCAAGATCACTCATCTCAAATTTGGAGGCCATTTTTTTCTTGAATTCTAGGATTTGGTCTATCCTTGAACCTGTAACCAGTAAATCGTCCACATATACTGCTACAAGTAGGTGATGCTCCACTTCTTGTTTTAGATACAATGAAGGTTCTTTTGAACACTTCGCAAAACCTAATTCCTTGAGAATCCTGTTGAGCTTAATGTTCCAGGCTCTAGGAGCTTGTCTTAAACCATAAAGTGCCTTGTTTAGTCTGTAGACTTTTTTTTCACTTCCTTCTATCACAAATCCTTCTGGCTGAGACACAAACACTACCTCTTTTAACTCACCATGTAAAAATGCCGTTTTTACATCAAGATGATGTATCTCCCAGCCATTTGAGGCTGCTATAGCTACAATAAAACGGATTGTTTCTATACGTGCTACTGGTGCAAAAACCTCATCAAAATCTATTCCATGTTTT